GGGCCTCCGCCCAAAATAATTGCTTGCCCCATGTTCTAAGACCACAGGGGGAGGTAGGTAAGGGAAGGATCCACTTAGTTCCCCACTTTGAGGGTTTGGGGGTCTCCTGTACCAATTTCTATGGCCAAGTAAAAGCTCACCACCACTAACCTGAAGCACAGAGAACACCACCAATGAGACACAGGTACTGTACTTTCACCTCTGTCCAAGTACATAAAGCTACAACCTTTATCCCTACAGCTGCGCTAGTACTTCACCTTGATGTTGAAACTTGCACCTTCCAAGCACTGCATCAGATAGTAAGGCATGAATTTTGTTCTTGAATACAGACACACCTGCCCTCCCTTTCATACGCACAAGTTCCCCCGGTTCCCATGGATGTAATGCTTAATAAGCACCCCAGAGGGTGGCCGATTAGAAGAAGCACAGTACTTTTGTTTCAGAGCGTTCATGCTAGTGGGAACGTCTTGTTTACATTGGGCATGCTCAAAGCCTTAATACAAACGTAAGTGTTAGTATTCACCTGACAACAGTGTATGTTGCTACACATACACTCCCCATACTCATATTACCTACCCTTGTCACAAGAGGATTTTAGCCTCAAACTGGCACCTGAACTTTCTCTGGCTAACAGATCTGTGTAATTACCGCTTGATATTTAACTTGCATATCATATTTACAATTAGAGGCATTTTAATACTTCCTACCCTCCTGCTTTATCTTCATTTCAGCCAAATCCTGGACTCTTTACTCAACCCAATTTCTAACAATGGACAGTCCACCCAGATTGCCATCCTCCCATGAACTGGGGTAAGAAGAATGTGGCATTCTCCCAACCCTGTGCTCAACCAGAGGAATCATTCTTGTGATGCTGCTCTTGTATAACCTGCAGCCTTGTAACCCCTAGGGCCCAAGCATACACATTGGAAATTGGCCATCTGAGCAGCAATCCTCACTTTGGGCAACTCGTACCTCTCAGGTTTAAGGGTCTGGTTCTCCCCTTGTCTGCCCTTCGTTTGGGTTCTGGATCAGGTCTGCCTGCTGCAGAGATAACAAGTGGGGCCTCCATGACTCAGATACTTGGAAGAGAACAATCCATCGGAGAATGCATACATTCCTCCCACCACACAGATGTACCACAGAACTCAGCACATCAAAAGGAAAGCATTTTCCTAAACATTTCTCTATATTAGGCATGTCTACACGTTGGCCCACAGTGAAGTTGTTATTGTGCTGTGCTTTAGGACTTCCACAAGGAAGTAACAGCCCATACTGTGCCATATGTGGGGCGCGCAGTTATTTTTAGCAGTTACTTCACCATAGCAGCACACTATAACTGAGGAGTACACCGCTCTGGCAAAGTAGCTGCTGGTTACATGTAGGCACCTGTGGATGCTACGTTGCTGGAGTGTGTCACTACGGTGATGTAGCCGCAGTGTAGACGTGCCCATTGTATAGTAAGGTCTTGAGGGAGTTAAGCTAGCACTGACAAGGAGGGTGCCAGCTGTTCAGCTCCTCAGCTTTGGCAAACCTAGTTTCCAACAGAGACACACAGGAGTGGGCCTGGGACAATGCTCACAGTACCTTCCCTTTCCACAGGCTCCTGGCAGGGTCAAAGTGATGCTGAACACTTTCACTCTCTGAAATGTTCTCCATGAGTCCAACTGAGTGACTTCTCTGCTGCCCTTTCAGCAGCTCCTTCGCCAGCCATTCTGGGAGCTGAGAGCTTTCTTCTGAGAAGCTGCCCAAGGAAACTGGAGATGTGCCTTGCAACCTGCGGCCTCCTACAGAAGTTTGAGCACGTTGAAATGAAGGCTCTGCCACAGTTTTTGACTCTCTTAGCTCATCAAGGATACTGTTGGGACACAAAACAGTGAGCCACAATTGGGGAAGACCAGCACACTCCAAACACTCAGAATCAAAATGGTGGTTTTCATCTGTTGATCTCAAGCCACTTCAGACAGTGAGAGGAAAATGGCAAAAAAAGACTTTTATACATGAAGCTGGTGATAGGGAAAGACAGGCTGCCCAGTTCCTAGACCAGAGGCGGGCCAAATACAGCCCATGGGCTGGATCCGGTCCACCAAGCCATTCTATCCAGCCCATGGGGCACTTAATAAG